TCGGATGTTAGGATACTTTTCTTCTGACAGCAGACTCCAGAACTCTCTATCCACACCAGGTGATGCTCTGGATTTGATCCCAATGTCATTTTGCAGAGTCAACACCTCATTTTCAACACCAGAGCTGTCCAGCTGAAACACGGACACCAATTTGGACACAATGTCATCCACATCAACATTTCCAAAAGGATAACACATGTAGCTGGTAACAGGCTCGATGGAGGAAAAGTCAGTAAATCGTCTCTCAAATTCTGCTGAGATGCTCTGAACCTGCTTAGAATAGTGTGCACTGTCCAGTTGTTGGACCTCTTTCCCATGGCGCTGTAGCTCTGCCTCCATGTGTGGGAAGTTTCGCAGGTCCCTGCGTTGCAGCCGACTTGTGAGCAGTTGCAGCCTGCTTTTGAAGGTGCTCACCGAACTGATCATTTGGATTATGTTTTTGTCCTTTCCCTGAAGCTCCAAATTCAGTTCATTGAGCAGGCTGGTGAGATCTGTGAGGAAGGCTAAATCCAAAAGCCACTGGGTGTCCTCTAGTTTTGAATGTTCACCATGATCTGACAGCTTCAGAAAATCCCTGATCTCAGGCAACAGCTCACTGAATCTGTCCAGAAATGTACCTCTGCTTAGCCACCTGACGTCCATGTGCAGCAGCAGGTCTGTGTGGTCTGCTCCTGCCTCCTCCAAGTGAGCCCGGAACAACCTCCTCTGCAGACTCCTGGCCCTTATAGAGCACACAGTTTTCATGGCAACATCCATCACTTCCTTCATGTTTAAAATCTTCTCACACAGGGCCTGTTGGTGGATGATGCAGTGATAGTGCAAAATGTCTGGGAAAGCATCATTCTGCTTGCAGAGTGCAACAAATCCACTGGTGTACCAGTCATTGCTGGAGCGCCATCAGTTGTTATAGAAATTAGTTTAAAGACTGACTGCTGGCAAGTTGCTTTTATTAACAAACTCCATAAACGCATTAAAAATATCTTCTCCTCTTGTGTGTCCCTTCAAAGGCAAGATGGTGAGCAGCTCCTCTTTTGCACTCATGTCTGCAAAGGCCATTCTGATAAAAACACACAGCTGGGCTACATCCACCATGTCTGTCGACTCATCAAACTGAAGAGAGAAACACTCACATTGTTCCACGTCCTTTTTTAGCTGCTCCTCCACATCCACAGCCATTCCCTCACATCGCCGTGTCACTGTTTGTCTGGACGTCTTTAATAGCAGCTACGATCTCACTTTTATTTTTAAAATCATGAAAATGCGCATCTGCAGCCTCAATAAACGCTTCATTCATAACTTGTCCATCGCTGAAAGACTTCTTATGTTGAGCCAGGATGCGGCTAACACGGTAGGAAGCTATCGTAGCAGCTTTACCTTTTGTGCTGGGCCGAGTGAAGACTGACTGCTGGGCTGCAAGCTTGTTTTTTAGCTCCCGCACTTTCTGAGTCCGTAAAGAACTTTTAAGAGGGAAATCTGTCTCAAACCGTTTGTGCATCGTCTTGAAATGCCGCTCCAAGTTACACTTTTTGGGTAAGGCAACGCTCGAATTACAGATGAGGCAAATGGACTTCGAATTAGAATAAACAAAAAAATACTCCTCCTCCCACTCTGTGTGAAAATAATAAGTTTTCGTTTGCTTGTTCGCTAGTTTTCCATCCATGTTTTCTGCGCACCGACATTACTCCACTACTGAGCCTAAAGTCTCGTGAGAGCGCTGTGTCACCGCACCCAAAACTCGCGAGACTATGTCTGTGAGAATACAAGTCAAGGTTTTGCTTCCGAAGCGACTGGTTGGGCACACCAGATTTAGATTATATGCATTATATTAGCAGTACATAGAGAAGATGTTTCATAGTGTTTTGAGTATCTCACAACTTCAAACTAAAAATCTCAGCAACTTCTAAGATCTGAGAGGTTTATGTTCCACCTCAGGATGTTCTGGAGAAACTCCGCCCCCTGCACCCTTTGCCAGGTGTGATTCTAGAGTGGAGGCGGATCACTAACGCCCTGACTAAGGTGGTCTTCCCCCTGCAGAGGGTGAAACGGCATCATCCTACACTGAAGATGGACAGATTATATCCAGTCGCCCAGACCCACACAGCCACCGGTAAAACACACAGAAAGATCTCGGACTGTGTAGATGTTTTGTGAAATGCTGTTTTGTTTGAAGTAAATAAACAAGAATGGATGTAGCCCATTATGTCCTTTTTTTTTTTTATATATTTTCAGGTAGAGTGAGCTTTACTGAACCAAACATACAGAATGTCCCCAAAGATTTTGAGATTTATATGCCCACAGTGATAAGTGAAAGCCCACCTTCACAAAATGCCTTCCAGGTGACTCGTAAATCAAGGTAGGTACCTGTCAGTACAAATATTTCTGCTTTTAAAGCCTTTGTGTCTTCAGACGTGTCCTCTGTGTTTTAATATGGGGAAAAGATAAGTAATTCTAGCAATAATAATAATAGATGGTCAAAGTTTCAAAAAAAGACCCTAAAAATGTATTGTATTATTGGTATCATTTTTAAAAAAGCTAAAGTCTTTTAGGAATATATCTTTTGTTTTAGTAAACAGTAGTTTTGATGTTATAGTTCATAGATTATAAATATTTATTTACTGCTTTCAGGTTGAAGTGCCTTAAAAAGTAAATTTGCTGACAGCTTCAGAACAATTCTGGCTCTTTTTAAAACTTTATTTTTTTATGACATATCAAGTAAAAAAATTAAAAATCTGGCTTTTTTTGTTTGGGGTCCCTTTTTGACCATTATGGAGGCAATCCTTCTAAAATGAAATCAATTATTTGGTCAATTTTAATCTAATAAATTCTTAATTCTTCTCTATCACTTTCCATCTTTTCACGCTCAAAATGAGTTGACCAAATCTAATTTAAAGCTTTTGAAAGCAACAAGTGACATAACAGTAGCTTCATCCATCATTTATGGTGTTTGTAGTTTAAAAGAAGCTTGAGGTAAGTGATGCAGTGTGTTGAACCACCTGGAAACTGAAGCATCTATACTCCCATTTTTACATCTTACTTTTCTACTAACGGTGCTAAATCTGGATCGCTGTACAGTTTTGCAAAGTTTTTAAATTTGATTTTAGTATTTTCAGGTCTGAGTAAAAATGGAAAAAAAACGATTGAGTACAGAGAAACATCTGCATTTTCAAATGCTCCTAAGGAAAAACAATGAGTGGAACTGCACACCCCAAAGATCTCCTATTGAACAACTTTACTGGTCAATCAATAAAGTTGTTCAATAGGAGCCCCATTTCATTTTATTTCCTTATTCTGGCACCAAATTCCAGTGGACTTTGGATGTGTGTGCTTTTTGTCTGTTGTTTCCAGACACCTACCTATTGCTTTTGATAAAAAAAAAAAAAAAACTACAAGGTGCTCAAATGTGCAGGTTATTAGAATCAGAATAAGCTTTTGTAACCCGTAGGTCCAATAAATGTCACATCAGTAGAGTCAAAATAGACAATTTATTAGTGGATAAATCATGTGGCACTTTAATTCCCAATTGTTACAACCAGTGCTGCTCATATGTTCCACAAGCCTACAAGTCAAAGGAGAAGCTGACAAAACTAAGTGAAAAAGGCCACAAACTTCATGTTTCCACACCACATGAGAATGGGTCAGGCTTCCTGGATGTAAAGTCTTGTGGCTATAAGCTACATCTGGTGTCACATAGGTGGGTGGCTAAATAAGGACAAACAAAACAAAAATAAAGTAGTTAGTCTACCCTTACAAGACACACTCCCAGATCTACTGGTCTACAGGCCATGCAAGGCCCGGGCGGACCACCAAAAACAATTCAATAATCTCAACTCAAAAAGGACAGCAGGAAACAGTACATCTGAAACTATAAAGACATCAAAATCCAATTAATAACTTGACAGTTCCATATACAATTAATTTTAATAGTTATTAAAATACATTTATATAAAAACAAACTATACCTGACACGTTGTCACACCCACATGCAGCTGGATGTAGAAAACACCTTAAAATCTTGTGTGACCACACTGCAATATCTAAACAAAACATTAGGAGAGATACCTGCATTAAGTTTTTAAAACCACCAGATCACCAGATAAATATGTGATTTCTTACCACACACCCCAACAGCAGAAGCACAACCATCAGAGCTCTGACAAACATTTCTGAAAGGCCACACCTACTCCTTGATCTGCGTGCCTTTCGGTCAGTGAGGTGGAGCACCAACAGGTGCCACTGGTTACATCCCTCCCCTTCAAAACTCATCGGTGACCCGACGATGAACAAAAACACTTCAGTTCATTTATTCACTTCAGAAAGCACAGACTTCGGCAGATTAAATGGGTTAGAATGCTGCCCAGCAGTTTTCCTTGAAGATCTACGGGGTTCTCTTGGGACATTTTCTACATCCAATTCACCTTCCTGGGAAGGGAGAGGCAGTGTTACATTGTGTTCAGAATCTGAAGACCCAGGGTCCAAAGCCTCATGGGTGGGTTCCACAATATCATTTAAAATGACCCCAGATACATTTCCAACCCATTCAACACTGAGTTTCCTGTGGCTCTGTGTGATCCTCCCAACTCACCATTTCATCAAGCCCTCTCACAGATTACCCCGCTCTAGGCTCAGGAATACTTCTCAAGTCAGCTCTATGCACCTGACGAAGTGGCTCACCCTGGCCTAAGGGTGCAATTGAATACACCACACCTCACTCAGGGGGTGGATGCACTACCTCATATGGTGTAGAGTCCCAAAAATCCTGAATCTTATTTCGGCCTTTCACAGCTCGATTTCTGGTATATACTAAATCGCCCTGTTCAAAATTAGGGGCAGCCCCATGATCTTCATCTTTTAAATACTGCTGTGCTCTTCTGACCTCCAACCGTTTTTGGACAGTGTCATATGCAACAGCCAGGGACTTTTGATGTTCCATCACCCAATCTTCCATGGACAAATCAACTTGTTCCCTTTCCACCCCCACCAAAAACTCCACTGGCAAACGAGGTTCCTGTCCAAATATTAGAAAGTATGGAGTCATACCCGTTGACTGGTGGACTGTAGTGTTATAAGCATAAGTGACCTGAGAAAGGTGTCGAGGCCAATAGCGTTTTTGCTCTGGGGGCAGAGCTCATAACAGGTCATGGAGCGTACGGTTAAACCGCTCACACTGACCATTGCCCTGTGGATCGTATGGCGTAATTAGACTCTTCTCAATCTTATATGTCTTACAAAGCTGTTGAACCAATGCACTTTCAAAATTTCGTCCCTGGTCAGATTGAATACGACTTGGTGGCCCAAACAGCTGAAACCAATGCTTCACTAATGCTTCTGCCACTGTAGTAGCCCGTTGGTCCTTAGTTGCAACAGTCTGGGTGTACTTTGAAAAAACATCAGTCATCACCAAAACGTTTTCTTTACCTTCTGTTGAAGGTTCCAGAACTGTAAAATCAATTGCTAATGTTTCATGAGGGCGGGTTGCTCTACCATGACCCATAAACGTTTTAATCTTTGGCTGAAGAGCCTTGGAAACCACACACCTTCCACAAGTTTTACACCACCTCTCAATGTCATTATATATATTTGGCCAAATAATACCGTACATGGACCAACTGAAATGTACGTTCTATTCCCTGATGGCCATGATTGTCATGAAGGGACTCAAAAATACCTTTCTGCAAGCACTGGGGTAACAAAATTTGGTTAACTTCCTTACTGCCATCTGGAGTGTAAATGAGAGGGTACAACACAGATTTTTCCTCAAAAATGCGCCCCCACTGGTGGACCAATTCCCTAGTGCCTCTACTAAGATCTTTCCTTTCTTTTACATCTGGCATCGTGGCCGCCTTCCAAAACTTCAAAAAGGGACCAATTACTGGATCCTGCTTCTGTAAGACAGAAATGTCAGATAATGAACAACCAGGTAAGGTGCCTATCTCTGACTGAACCACAGGCTCACTATAGCCATGTTCCAGAAAGTCACGTACATCAGAAACCTCCTGTTCCATCATTGAATGTTGTCAGGACAGAGCATCCGCATTTGTATTTTGTGAACCTGGGCGGTACTTCACATCAATATCAAAAACTGCCAGCTCCGATACTCATCTCTGTTCAGTTGCGCCCAACTTAGCTGTCGCCAAGTGACTCAAAGGGTTATTATCTATAAACACTGTGCACTTATGCCCCAATAGATATTCTTGAAATTTTTCCGTAACTGCCCATTTAAGAGCCAACAGTTCAAGATTCATAGAACTGTGGTTTCTCATGTTTCGCTCAGCAGGCTTCAAGCTTCTACTAGCAAAAGCTATGGGTCGCAACCTACCTTCCCCCTCCTGAGAGAGCACAGCTCCCATGCCAGCATGACTAGCATCAACATCTAGCACAAAGGGTTTCTGAAAATCTGCATAGGCAAGCACCGGTGTTGAAGTTAAGGCAGCCTTAAGCTTATGGAAACTTTGGTCACATTCCAAGTCCTAAGATTCTGCCAGCCATTTTAGAGGAGTTTTGCCCTTTCTACCTGGAGGAAGAAGCTTGGAAACTAATCTGTACAAAGGGGCCGCCGTGTGTGCAAATCCAGCGGTACATCTTCTATAATAACTTGCGAACCCCAAAAATGAATGAAGCTCTGCTAAAGTGCTTGGCTCTTTCCAGTCCTGCACAGCAGCCACTTTATCAGGGTCAGTAGAAACCCCTTCTGCTGATACTACGTGGCCTAAATACTTCACTTGCTTCTGAACAAACTGACACTTTGAGAGCTTCACTTTTAATCCATGTTCCTTCAGTCGAGACATTACTTCTTCCAACCGTTCAAGATGTTGTTGGACTGAAGAAGAAAAAACTATTACATCATCTAGATACAATAACACTGACTGATGTTGATAATCCCCGAATAGACGCTACATAAGGCGCTGAAAAGTACCCAGTGCATTGCATAATCCGAAAGGCATGTGATTAAACTCAGATAAACCAAATGGAGTACAAAATGCAGTTTTAGCTTTGTCTTTCTCTGCCATTTCTACCTGACTATAGCCACTGGCCAAATCTAGTGTAGAAAACCATTTGGCTCCAGTAAGAGCATCCAATGTTTCCTCTATCCTTGGTAAAGGAAAAGCATATTTTCTTGTCTTTGCATTCAACTGTCTGTAGTCCACACACATTCTTGAACTACCATCTTTCTTTTGAACCAAAACGATGGGAGAGGAATATGGGCTACTACTTTCTCCTATATTCTCACCCTGTAACAACTGTTTGATATGATTCGTGCCAATTCATACTGAGATGGGGGAATGCGTCTGTACGGCAATCGTTGGTTACGTACTGTAACCCCAGATTCTATGAGTATAGGCGTAGCCCTTTAAG